ATTGCCATCCCTTTTTACTTCCTTATAGGGTAAGATAGATGTCTGTATCTAACTCAGTTATTCCCTCTTTGAGCCAGTTTTGAAGAGGGTAAGGTTTAAGCCAGGGGTGGGGAACCTGTGGCCTCAAGGCCACATGTAGGGCTCAAGTGTGGCCCTTTGACTAAATCCAAACTTCACAGAACAAATCCCCTTAATAAAAGGATTTGTTCTGTAAAACTTGGACTCAGTCAAAAGGCTGCATGCAAGGACCTAGAAGGCCACAGATTCCCCACCCCTGGTTTAAGTTTTGCCCACCACCACCTCCCCCTATCTTCCCCTCCATTATAATAACTCTTTCATGCCTCTGTTATGTGGGATAATTTACCCCATTAAATCTCCCTTCTCCTTCCAATGCAATTTTCTTCTCATCCCTTTATTTTATTTTTTGGGGTATCATCCCATGAAAGTCACCTTATATCCATGGCCTCTGTCTACATATACTCTTAATTGCTTTTACAGTTTTAAAGTTTTTGAGTTATAAATATTATCTTGCCATGTAAAATAGAGTTTAACCTTATTGAATTTCTTATGTTTTCTGTTTCTTGTTTCTTTTTTATCTTTTTATATACCCCTTGAGTCTTGTAGTTGGTGGTCATATTTTTTATTCAGCTTTGATCTTTTAATTAGAAATGCTTTGAAGTCCTCTATTTCATTAAAGGTCTGTTTTTCCCCCCGAAAGATTATATTCAGTTTTGCTGGGTAGGTGATTCTTGGTTGTAATCCTAATGGCTTTGCCTTCTGGTATTTCATATTCCAAGTCCTCTGGTTCTTTAATGTAGAAGCTGCCAAATCCTCTGTAATCCTGATTGTGATCCCACAATATTTGAATTGTTTCTTTTTGGCTATTTGCAGTACTTTCTCCTTGATCTGTAAGCTCTGAAATTTGGCTATGATGTTCCTGGGAGTCCTTATTTTGAGATCTCTTTCAGGCAATGATTGGTGGATTCTTTCAATTTCTATTTTGCCCTCTGGTTCTAATATATTAGGGCAACTTTCTTTGATAATTTCTTGAAAGATGTTGTCCAGGCCTTTTTTTTTTAAATCATGACTTTTGGGTCGTCCAATAATTCTTATATTATCTCTCTTGGATCTATTTTCTAGGTCAGTTGTTTTTCCAACAAGAAATTTCACAATTTATTCTATTTTTTAAGACTTTTAAAGTTTTGTTTTATTGTATCTTGATGTCTCATAGAGTTATTAGTTTCTACTTGTTCAATTCTAATTTGTAAGGAATTATTTTCTTCAGTGAGCTTTTCTACTTCCATTTCCCTTTGGCCAATTCTATTTTTTAGGGAATTATTTTCCTCAGTGAATTTTTGTATATCTCTTCCCATACTATAGACTATTTTTTCTTAATTCTCTTGCTTTGCTTTCATTTCTTTTCCCAGTTTTTCTTCTACTTCTATAATTTGCTTTTCCAAATCCTTTTCAAGTTCTTCCAGGAATTCTTTTTAGGCCTGAGACCAAATTACATTTTTCTTTGAGGCTTCACATGTAGTCATTTTGACACTTTTGTCTTCTTCTAAGCTTATGCTTTGATCCTCTCTATCACCATAATAACTTTTCTGTAGTTAAGGTTTTTTTTCTTAGTTTTTGCTAATTTTTTCTGCCTTTTTGTTTTGATAACTTCATGTCTTTATGTGAGTTGGGCTCTGGTCCTGTACTCTTCCAAGATTTTTGTGCTGGGTCTTACTGCTGTCTTTCACTGGGCTTCAGGGCTTAGCTGCTTGCTTTCTCTGGAGGGTAGGCTTCCCTTCTGGCTTGTGCTGGGCAGAGGGGTTAGCCTTCATTTTGGCCTCTCCTGGGTGTGGGGTTTAGCTACTGGCCTGCACTAGGGGTGGGGCTTTGCTCCTGGGTTGCTATGGTACAGAGTCTTTCTGGTGGCTGACCCTGGAGAAGGGATCTTTTTGCTGGTTTGCTCCAGGGGTGGGGGCCTGATGCTGCATTGCTGTGGAAACAGGGTCTCTCTGCTGGTAATCCCCAGGGGAGGGGTCTCCCTCTTGGCCAGCCCCAAAATGGGGCTTCACTGCTGGTCAGCAATGGGGGCAAGTCCTGGCTGGTGGCTTGGGGAGTGGGGTTGCTGGTGTGGAGCCTTACTGCACTACACAAACCGCTCTCTTGACTTAGGGGACTGCTGGCTTGCAGGAGGGCAAGGCTTCACTGGTGGATTGCCCCAGGCTTAGAGCCTTGCTTCAGGCCCCATGCTGTGAGGCTGGCTGTTGCTGCTGTTCTTGGACCTCACTCTCTTCCCACTCCAATGAGTAGACCTTTCCTGCCATGCTGATAAGCTGCTTCCAGATCAATTCTGAGGTGGATTTCTAGTTGTTTGGAGGGGAATTTGGGAGGGCTTCAGAGGGTTCCTTCCTCACTTTACCATCTTGGGATTGGAAGTCTCCAGAATTCTTTACATTAATTATATTTTATGGTGTAGTAAAAATATTAAATTATACTCATATACCACTGTGTGTCCAACCTTTCCCCAATTGGTGGGTACCCATATTATTTTTTTGAAACTTCAAAAAATTTTGCTATAGATGTTTTTGGATATATGAAATTTATCCCTCTCTCTTTAACTACCTTGATAGATATACCTAATATTGAGTGGTTTGTTTTTGTTATTCAGTCATTTTCAGTTTGTGTTGACTCTTCTTAATCCCTTTTGGGGTTTTCTTGGCAAAGATACTGCAGTGGTTTGCCATTTCCTTCTCTAGCTCATTTTACAGATGAGGAAACTGAGGCAAACAGGGTTAAGTGACTTGCTTAGAGTCATACAGCTAGTATCTGAGATAAAATTTAAAGTTGGGTCTTTTTGAGTCCAGAGCCAGTACTCTTTCTATTCTACCATCTAACTGCCAGTTTGCAATATATTTGTGTTTAGTTTGCATCTCTTTTGAAAACTTTCTCTGTCTTTTTAACACTTATCTACTGGGGGCAATGGCTTTTTCCTATGTATGTGTATGTGTGTACATATGTATTTATATATATTATACATGTATGCATGTGCACAATATGCAAGGTTTCAGATGGCACATTGGCTAGAATAGTGTGTTTGGTGTCAGGAAGACCTGATTTCAAATACTGCCTGAGACACTTACTGGTTAGTTAACCCTGGGCAAATCACTTAAGTTCGTTTATAAAATGGTGATAATAATAGTAACTACCTCACAGGATTGTTGTGAAGATCAAATGAGATAACATATATGAAGTGTTTTGCAAACTTTAAATTGCTTTATGAATGTTGGCTATTTGATCTTTTATTTATATCAATAATTCTCGTAAATCTTGGAAATCTGTCTTTTATCAAAGATATTTGTTGCAGTGATCCTCTCCCCCCCCTCCCCATAGCAGGTTGTCTTATTCTGGTTGTATTGATTTTTCTCTTGAAGAAGCTTTTAAATTGTATATAATAAAAATGGTCTATTTTATCTTTAAAAATCCCCTAGATCCTTTGTTCGCTTAAGAATTCTTCCTGTAGCTGTAGCTATACCAAGTACCTCCTTCCATTCTCCTAGAGTATAAGGTTTAATTTACATATATTTGTAGCAGTCATTTACATATTCTTTTTCAATATATGTTTCTATACACATGAAATTAAACAGTTCTTAAAAAACTGTAATGCCCCATCTGGCCTTGGGCCAGGGTTTAGTGAGGAACTTGGTTGTGCCTTCTCCTGTCCCAAGAAGGGAGGGAAGGGAGGGAGAAAGTAACAGAGAAATTGTTGTTCAAATTCAGTTTGGGCATGCAATTCAATTAAATTACACAAGTATTCATTATGCAATGAGCTTATACAGAGACAAGTGTCCTGAGTATTAAGCTGGAAAGGGCCAGAGGCAGAAGACAGTCATCATAACCAGAGGCTCCCTATAATGTCTGAGAAAAGATTGACAAAAGGTAAAGTCCAGGCTTTAATACTTTTGAGTTTAGTGCTGAGTGATGAAAAAGATGTGGAGGCAGGCAGTCTACTAGGAGGTACCTCAGCCATTCACTAACCCATTACACAGTCAGATGGGAATGTTCAGCCCAGCCTTATGTCTTCAGTCCTGACCTCCCCATCTATTGTCTGGGGGGAATCCTCCTGTCTTTATTACTCTCCTTAACTTTCATAGAATCTTTAGTGGCAGGTTTACCCACAGCGATGGGGAAGCTGCAGCCTTGAGGCCACATGTGGCCTTCTAGGTCCTTCAGTGCAGCCTTTTGACTGAGTCCAAGTTTTACAGAACAAATCCTTTTATTAAGAGAATTTATTCTGTGAAGTTTGGATTCAGTCAAAGGGCCACATTTGAGGACCTCGTGGGCCACATATTGGCCCCAGTAGAGTTTTCTCTGCACTATTGTCAGCCCTTGTTATCCTCCAAAGAATTCATAGGATGGTACACAAAATGTCATCGAACATAGTTCTAGACTTAACTAATTGATTTTAACATTAATGATGTTGTTGATGCTTAGGCTCCCTACTATACATGTGCCCCTTTTTATTAAGGATATCGTAGAAATAACACTGTATAATTAATTTTTAAGTAAACATGTACCTATCCATAAATTTTAATTCAGTGAGATTCATTTAATGGATGAATGCTTATAGAGTAGCTTACTGCTGACTGCTTGGGTCTTCACAGTTCTAGGTCTCTGTACTGAGAAGGTAGGGGATATGAATTTTAGGGTTGATTACAGGTCATGTTAACTTTCCTGGTGTAGCATCCTGGTTTGCATGCTGGCTCTGCTATTTAATAGCTGTAAAGGCTTTGGACAAATCACTTGATGTCTTACTGTGCTGGGTTCCTTGATGGAAATGCTATTTTTGTTCCCTGCTTCACAGAGCTATTGGAAAGCTCAGACGAGATAATGAACATAAGAGTCTGGTGAACTGTTAAGTGATAAAGAAGTGGCAGTTATTTTTGTTGCTGTTATTAATAGGAATAACTCTTTTGTTTCTCTGTGCTCTCTCCCTCCTTTGCCTCTAGGATGGTTCATTGGGAAACATCGATGACCTAGCACAACAATATGCAGATTATTATAATACCTGTTTTACTGATGTATGTGAAAGAATGGAAGAGCTGCGGAAAAGAAGGGTTTCTCAAGACCTTGATTTGGTGAGTGAGGCGGCACAACTAATTTTTTGTTGTTGTTAATTTAGTAGTATTTTATTTTTTCCAATTACATGTAAAGATAATTTTCAACATTCTTTTTTAAAAAACTAATTTATTTTTAGTTTTCAACATTTACTTCCATAAGATTTTGAATTTTAAATTTCCTTTCCCTCCCTCTCCTCTCCCCTCCCCAAGACAGCCTGCAATCTGATATATAGGCTCTACTTATGCATTCATATTAAACGTTTTAGTCATAATGTTGAAAAAGAATTTGAACTAATGGGAAAACCATGAGAAAGAAGAAATAAAACAACAAAAGAGAAGGAGAGCAAATAATATGCTTCCATCTGCAGTCAGATTCCAAAGTTCTTTCTCTGAATGAGTCTTTTGGATGACATTCTTTTTTTTTTTATGAGATTTTGAGTTCCAAATTTCTCTTCCTCTCTCCCTCTCTCTTCCCAGGACAGAAAATAACCTGGTATAGGTTATACACATGCAATCATGTAAAACATGTTTCCACATTAGTCATGTTGTGAAAGAAGAAACAGAACAAAAGGGGGAAAAAAACACAAAACATAACCCAAAAAAGTGACAATATTATGCTTTGATTTGCACTGAGACTCCATCAGTTCTTTCTCTGGAAGTGGTTAGCATTTTCTATCATAAGTCTTTTGAAATTGTCTTAGATCATTGTATTGCTGAGAAGTACTAAGTCTGTCTTAGTTGATTATGACACAATGTTGCTGTTGCTGTGTACGGTGTTCTCCTGGTTCTGCTCACTTCACTCAGCATCAGTTCATGTAAGTTTTTCCAGTTTTTTTCCCCGAAATCTGCCTGATCATCATTTCTTATAGAACGGTAGTATTCCATTACATTCATATACCACAACTTGTTCAGCCATTCCCCAACTGATGGACAGCTCCTCAATTTCCAATTCTTTGACACCACAAAAAGAGCCGCTGTAAATATTTTTGTACATGTGGGTCCTTTTCCCATTTGTTTGATCTCTTTGGGATACAGACCTGGTAATGGTATTGCTGGATTAAAGGGTGGAAAGTACAACTAATTTCTTATTTGCCATCATACTGTACTCCTTTTCCAGCTCAAATAAGCCCCATTTGATAGTCATTTGCTGTCAAAATTTACCTAGAATAGTTGAACTGCTAGGCCCCCACTTAAGGAGCTTGTATTTTTAATTGAATTTTTAAAAGATCAACTTAGGTTTTGTAGGGACATAAATTGAATAAATTAGAGGGAGTGGGAATCAGTTTATACCTCCTAAGCTAATGTTCTTTATACACGATATTAACAATTCTATTAACACTTTAAACTAGAGATTTCTCCTTTCTATCCTCCAAAAGTGTCATATTTTAGAATGAAAAGTTTGGAATCACGATATTTAAAGCTGGAAAGGACTTTAAACTTCTCTAATCCCATGATTTTATAGATGAAGAAAATGAAGTCTGAAGAGGTCAGTGACTTATCCAAGGAAACATAGGTAGTAAGAAGCACAACTAGGTTTCAACCAGGTCCCAGGAATCTAGTTCAGGGCTCTTTTCACAATTTTAATGTCAAGTCATGTACCTAATGTAGTGTTTGGAATTCTCTGTGTGAATGTTGAATTTTTATATACATTTCTATATATGTACTAACATTTCCGTGTTAAGCCTCTATAAGCAAATATCTGAATAAGAGTAATAGTCAAGTTCACTAAATTGTGACTTTCCCTTCCAGTCATCTTTTGCTTTATTTTATTGCTTTCTTCTTTAAATTCAAAAAAATATATATTGTATTATATTTTTGCCTCTATGCTACTTATTTCCAGCCCTCAGTAAAGTCTTTCTTATGATAAAGGAAAGCAATCCTGCAGAAACAAAATTGGCTTTGTTTGACAATGTTCCCAACATTTGATCCCCACCTTTTTGCCATGGAAGATTCTTCAGTGAGCTTTTCTACTTCCTTTTCCCTTTGGCCAATTCTATTTTTTAGGGAATTCTTTTCCTCAGTGAATTTTTGTCTATCTCTTCTCATACTACAGATGATTTTTTCTCGATTCTCTTGCCTTGCTTTCATTTCTTTTCCCAATTTTTCTTCTCCTTCCCTAATTTGCTTTTCCAAATCCTTTTTAGGATTTGGGGAAGAGATGGGGGAAAAGGTAATTCAATAAAACTTGGTTGTCAGATGGTTGAGTTGGTTGCTCCTTTGTCTGCATAGAGAGGCCCTGTTGTATAATAAAATCAAGAAGTCAGTCAAACACTTCTTAAGGTGCTGCTAGAGTTGGGTTCAGGGAAAGTCTGAGTTAAAATCTTGCCTCTGGTATGAGCTGTATGGACATGGGCAAATTATGCAATCTTTCTGGGTCTCAGTGTCCTTGGCAATAAATCAAATCATAATTGCCCCTACTTGGTCAAATTGTGCTAAGATAAATTGAGGTAGTGTGTGTAAAATGTTTTTCAAAACTTAATTTTATGAAAGTGCTGCCATTTGCCAATTATTATTTTTACATTTATGCTACTTAATCTTTTTTTTAACCTACTTGCACTACTTTACATGTCTTTAGATTACAGTTATTAAGTAGCTGGTCATTCTTTTTTAAAACATCAACTTGTTAATTTTTCTAATAAAATATTAGACCTTAAGTATAGTTGAATGAAGTTTTTTTGGACCAGAAGTAAGGCTATTTCAGGGTTGTCCATTATAGATTTATTCTTCTTCCTTTCATTCACATTCACAGTTTTAGTAGCTAGCTGGACAGTCATATTTTAATAGAATAAGTTTTTTATCCTTAGAAGCATCTAGTGGGAGATAAAATATGTTCTTTCTTTGGAGCATGACCCCATAGCACCAGAGCAGCTATTGCCCAAGGGATTTCTTTCCTGCTGACTTTGTTTTATAGCATGTGTAAATGATGGGGGTCCTTTCTCCCTTTCAAGAATGTAACCTCATGTGGCAAAAGACTTCTGTGCTTGGTTAAAATTATGTAGTGCCTCCTGTTGGGGAATTTTTAATGAGAAAATATTTCTTCTTTTGGCCAGCTTGGAGCTGTATAACAATTTAAGTATTGTATCAAAAGGAAATCTATAATGCTGTTGATTTGAACTTAAAAGATTGTCAGGAGGCTTCATTGAGCATGCCCCAGGGCAGAGAAACTTTGGCTATGAATCTGTGAATGGAGCAGCCTTGTTGTTTTTTGTGTAACATTGAAACACCGTTCTTAAAATTATATAATTACTTGTCCAGATAAGAGTTGGGGATAATGCAGTCATCTCCACAGTGTTAGAGAATTTTAGAAGGCAGCTTCTGTTCAGCGTAACGAAGCATGCCTTATGATGGGAAGGAACTCAGTTCCATTTAGACAGATGGGTCTAATTTGGTGTGCTCTGTTCCAGAGCTGCAAAAGACAGTCTGGGGAAAAAAACCACATGAGCTTAATTAGTTCACATCAAAGGTGCAAGAACTTGGTAGTGGGTTAAATTGATGGGAGCTAATTTGAGCCAGACTTGTGATTCAACTGTTCATCCTCCCAACTGCACTTTTAGTTAGGAGAGCAACTCCGTCAAACTGGCATCTTGGAGCTCTGTCTCTATTTTGTGCAATCCAATCAGCCTGGCTGAGTTTGCCAAGACAAAGGGGAGGTCTCTCATCTCTGTAACCACTTTCCAGTTTGCTCTTTCAGCTTCATCTGTCATTCTGAACAATGAGGACCCTAGGAGTTTATCTGAAGCATTCTTTGTGGTTATCAATTACTCAGGTTGTACCTGGGAGTTACAACTCTTTTGTTTGATGGATCAGAAGACAGTGATCCAGGGCAATTAGTGAGGTTTCCAAGGCTACTCATTCACTTGATAACAGAACCACTGAATTGCAATCAGGATTGGATCTCAGCACTGCTGCTACTTAGAGAGGCAGAAAATGACACTTTTGAGTACACAGAAGCTCACTAGCACAGGTTACAATGAAATTCTTGGAAATACAAATGAAAGCAAAAATTGTGATTCTTTGTATCTCTTGATGAAGGAAAAATTAATACCGTATTCTGTGTTATAGGCACAAGCCATGCTGGAAATTTTTAAAAATTAATTTATATTTATTTGACATCTAAACCTTTTTCTGCCTAGAGAGAGAAATGTTCCAACTAAAGTCCCCTATACCCCCTAATACAAGGCATTTTGAAGTCCTCATACATAGGATTTTTGAACAAGGAATATTTCACAATATGATAAAACAAAGTTAGAGAACTCAGGGTAAGGTAAAAGTTTAGCAAATAGTTTGCCTTACCAAATAGAACAGTAGTCATTTAAATTTTGGCACACCCTTTGAGTAATGTTTTCCTAAAAGTTACTCAGTACTCCTTTGACCGCTTGCTTCGTGTGTATACATATACATATATATATATGTATATGTATATATGTATATTTATGTATATGTGTATGTGTGTATATGTATGTATATGATATAATCAAAGACTTCTTACTTCACTTAGTCTAATTATTATCTGAATCGAATTGTTTCAGAATTGATAGAGAAAGATAGAAAGTTGCTCTTTTAGATTAGTCCAAAGGCTTCAGACCAAGAAAATGGCCTTTTAACATTTCTAAAAGGGGAAGCAGGGATTTGGGGGAGGCTTTATCTGGTTCCACTTTATGTAGACTCCCCCCCCCAACCCCCATCCACCCCTTAGGAATGCAAGGCATTTCATAGACAAAGAAAATTCACAGTATCTTGGATTCAGAGCTGGAAGGAACCCCAGAGGCCGTCTGTCTCCCTGACCCTGTCTAGCCCTATTTTACAGATGGGGAACCCGAGATCCAGAGAGTTAAATCTCATGGGTCTGTTGTAGTAAAAGGGCTTTAGAATTTCCCTTTTTACCACTCTGATTCATGACATGGATAGAGCTATAGTTGGTTAAATTTCTCAGATGCTAGTTGAACTTAGTGGTGTGAAATAATATATAGATGCTAGTGCCTACTTTCAAATAAATAGAAGGAAGCATTGTCACTTAG